GCTAGTAATGTTTAGGTTTTGAAAGCAGTGCTTGTGTAACTAAACTTAGTCCAATTCCACTCAGTTTGCAGAACAGGAAACAACATCTTTGTCACAGAAGTTCTCATAAGGAAACTTATGAAGACTTGTAGTCCAGAACTTACTACGCCTTGAGTCAAGCTGTTCCAGAATAGCTCCAACACTGATCTCTACTCAGCAATGTGGAAAATAGCCTAGGTATGTCCAGTATCATAGCGTCATAGAATCCCTAGTGTGTGGAAGCAGGCCGTTCAGCCCATCAAGTCCACACTGACCCTCTGAAAAGTATCCCACCCAGACCTACCCTTATAACCCTGCATTTCCCATGGCTAATCATCTAGCCTGCACATCTTTGGACTTCATGTAGGGAGGCATTGGGAATGGAGGGCGAGTGGACCAAGGTGTTCCAGAAGCGGGCTGACAAGGGAGGGGATGTGATTACCCACTCCGTTGTCTGCCCTACTGCTGTTCTGTGGGCTCCATCTCCACCTATTCGTTACTGTACCACTCCAAAATCTTCAGCATAAGTACCGACCCTTTTCTAGCTACAGCCAGTTCTGAAGAAGGGTCATTGAACCCAAAGACTTAACTCTGCTTTCACTCCACAGATGCTGTTGAGTTTCTCCAGTTTCTGTTTTTGTTTTGGCACTGATTCTCAGTTTGAGTTCTGCTAGGGCCATTCAGTTCCTCACCTCCTTACAGCCTTGTTTCAAATGTGGAAAAAAGAGCTGAATTTTAGAGGTGATGGTAAGCCCTTCACAACAAGGTTGCATGTGACCAAGGCTGGCATTTAATGGGTATCAAAAGAGAAAACTCTCCACTGATTAGACATGCAAAGTCATGAGTTCTAATCAACATGTTCAGAAATGCTATTGCACGCCTCTGGAGCAGGTCGGAATTGAACCCAGGCTTCCTGGCTCAGAGATAGGCACACGACCACTGCACCATGGGCCCCCTAATTCTTCAGGTAGTGACCTAGGACCAATCATCTTCACCCACATTGTCAATAACATTCCCTCCATAAGGAAAAAAAATTTGACAATTTTCTTGTTATAGATGACAAATTCTGTTCATATGCCCAATAACAAACTACTTGGGTAAATTTTGCTTTGGAACTGTTAATTGATTTTGTTTTCCTTCTAGTTCAAACATAAACATTAATGATGTCCTTGGGAACTATTCTTTAACTCTGATCGATGCACTTGATACGCTAGCGGTGAGTAACAGATGTTTAGTGACATAACTGCTTTTCTCAGTGGGACTTTGCAATCTTTTTATGCTGTTAATTTCAGTTGTGCAAGTTTCTTGTTTTCCCGAGTCACTTTGTTTGGAACCTTTAAAATTTATTTTGTGTAAAAATGTTCACCTATGTGTTTTAGCTATGAGGTTGCTTTAACATTTGTACTTCGAGTGTCAATCCTCTAAAATTCATTAGATTATCCAGATTCTCTCTATTTCCTTCAAGGAAGGTCTAGTTCTATATGTCTCTGGTGATTTTAGCTCAGTCATTTTATGCAATCAACAATCAAGATTGCTTGGATCATGAAATTTTGCATAAATGAAACATGACTTCAGTACCCAAATGTTTCCAATTGAAATTAGCAGTGAGCTTGTACTTGATGTAAAACACTTGTGCGCTCATGCCAATAGCATGATGTTACTGCATGATTTAATAAAGAGTGGAGAGAGAAACCAAGTTCCAATTCCCCATGAAATGCTGGATGATTTGCATCACTCCCCTGTTGGTTTCCATTGATGTTAATTGCATAAAATGTCACACAATTGCTGAATTTGCACTTTAAATGAGAACTTCTTGCTGTTTAAGGTTGGTCATTCATGTCATAAATCACATCATTAGCAGGCTGCATATCCTCACCTCGTGGCAGTCAATCTTGGAACCTGGACAGGGAATAAATGCATCTGTGTGTGTCATCTTGGCAACTGGTGATTTGTTCCTAGTTTTACCGTCTTTCCTTGGCAGTATTTTTATATTAGATTTTGCTGCACTCCTTACAGGTTTTGTTAAGTTCTTGTATTCAAGATGCAAGGCTGTTTTGCCACTTAAATGCAGATTAGGTTTATTTCAGAAAATAATTTTGAGTTAAAGTATATGACGAAGAATGTTTATGCATTTCACAAGATGTCCTTCCATTCACTCATTAATGTCCTGTAGACCTATACAACAATATTCAAAAACAACTGGTTGTCATGTTGCTTTTCTGTTCTCTTTTTTTTTCTTTTCCTTTCCTTTCTGCCTTTCTCCCTTTAGTCCACTTTTACTCTATTCCCCCTCTTTCTCTATCCTTAAATTCCATTGGCTAGGGAGATGGTATATTGGAGCAGATAGTTATGAGATCCCAGAGACACCATTGCCATCGAGGCAGTATTATAGTTTCTCATAGCCCAGTTGGCTGAACAGCTGGTTTATGATGCAGAGTGATGCCAACAGCATGGGTTCAATTCTTGCACCAGCTGACCAGCCTTGTGGTCTGGTAAGACTGTGACAGCTTTGCCTTTTACTTCTAATGTAAATAAAAATCTCAGCAGAAACTTGGCAGTGAATGCTGTCTGAGCGTACAGGTCCTACTTAATGCTTTCGTAGTATTTTCCCACAATACTACCTCCTCCTCCGCACCCCCACTTCCCCCATATTCAAGCAGAGGCAACAAAACCTGTCACTTTGGAGAAACCTGTTTTGAATTGACACCATGGCACATGTGCTGCATCATGAGATGTAAAGGTGAGATTCAATTGTCCCTTTGCCTCATTGGTTGTAGTTTCAGATCTTCGTTGCATGTCAGTCCCTTTGCAAGTCTAGCAGCAGACTACTACCCAGGTCAGTATGCACAGATACTTAGCCCATTGGCGCATGCAAGAACCTCAGTCCCATTAACACATTGCATTAAAGTTAAACCAGGCTTTTACCCCAGTCTGTGTACTGTACCTGCAGTTTGGGGCATTTCCCCAGGAATTGGCTTGCTATTGAGCAAGGGGTCATCAGCCCCTTGATATTTTTGAAGTCATGAGATTATAATTCAGGCTGTTTGGACTTGCCTCTTTCCTATTCAAAGTGTTATTGTTTAAAGTTTGCTTTTGCATTTTTAGGAATGATATTCCATAGATGTTTCTCTCCATGTGGTGGCTACCTTTACATCTGCAGCCATATTTGTGTGTTGTCTTGACAATGGTCAGAAATTGGCATGAGGCTGCTGTCTTTAAACAGACTGGTGCATGTCCAAAGTTGTGCTTGAGCCACTTGGGAGATGGAATTTTCAAGTAATTGGGTTAGATACGCTATGTAGTCCAATTTGTATTGTTTTCAGAGAATAGACCCCTGTTTCCTGGGTGGGCTCTTGAAGTAATTGAAGTGTGGGGTGGCATGGTGGTTCAGTGGTTAGCACTGCTGCTTCCCAGCACCAGGAACCCGGGTTCAATCCCACCTTTGGGCGACTGTCTCTGTGGAGTTTGCCCATGTCTGCGTGGGTTTCTTCCGGGTGCTCCGGTTTCCTCCCACAGTCCAAAGATGTGCAGGCTAGGTGGATTGGCTATGCCAAATTGTCCAGAGTGTCCAGGGATGTGTAGATTAAGTGGGTTATGAGGGAATGGGTCAAGGTGGGATGCTGTGAGGGTCGGTGTGGACTTGTTGGGCCAAAGGGCCTGTTTCCACACTGTAGGGATTCTGTGATGATTCAAGTTTTGGAAAAACCCTGGATTTACACTTCAGCAAAAAGTACAGAGCACTCCTGGCTGAGTGTCTGACTCAAAGTTGGAAAGATGTCAAGCACTGCTAGATCGGAATAGATTCTGTGTAGATATAATGATAAAAGCAACTTCAATATGTTATGCACGTGTTGAGAAAAAACTGATAACACTGCATCAGTGTGCATCAGAAACACAGCTGGAACTTCTCTCATTGATAGTGTAGCACTGTAGGTAAAGAGTGGAGTGAAGCTTGTCCAATGATAGCTGTACTACATTGACGTCCACAAATAGCGTGGAGTGAAATGCTTATTTTTGTGCAGCAATAGGTAATTGACATTGATCGGAATAATGGCCTTGAATTATTTAAAGTAACGTTTTGCTGAAGCAACTGTTAAACTTTTCTATTGCCACAACATTAAGTGCTCAAATTGAATGTATAATTGAGAGAAGGATGTCTCCCACTCAGCTTGTATAGAATGGGAAAATAGATAATTTGTCAACTATCTCTACTTGGCAAAATTGCGTTGAGGTCAATTAAGAACATGGTTAGTTGATTAAAAAAAAAAAATTCTTACAAGCAAGAATATGGTTGTGACATTCCCAACAGGCTGTGTTGAGTAAAAGGGGGCCAGAAAAGGCGGCACGGAGGCTCAGTGATTAACACTGTTACCTTACAGTGCCAAGCACCTGGGTTCACTTTCAGCCTTGGGTGACTGTCTGAAGTTTGCATGTTCTATCCTTGTCTGTATGGCTTTCCTCCCACAGTCTAAAGATGTGCAGGTTAGGTGGATCGGCCATGCTAAATTGCTGCATAGCGTCCCTTGATGTGCAGGCTAAGTGGGTTAACCGTGGCAAATATGGGATTAAGGGGATAAGGTGGGATGCTCTTTGAAGGCTTGTTGCAGATCCGATGGGCTGAATGGCCTCTATCTGCACTGTAGGAATTCTGTGAAATAGTTTTTACCAAGTAAAATGGTTACTATATAACGATATGTTACTGAGAGGAATCTGAAGTCCTTACCTGGTCTGGCCTACATGTGACTCTAGATCACAACAATGTACTGTGTAAATAGGAATGAGCAATAAATGCTGGATGAGCCAGCGATGGCCCCATCCTTTGAACAAACATATTTAAAAAGCTTTTGGGCTGTAAAAGTACAGTGTCTGGTTGAGGTTTATCTTTTACAGTTATAACATCTGTAACATCCTCTCACACTGATTAGCACTTCACAGCAGCCCTGTATTTTCTGAAGGATGTTTGCAACGGTTTGAGCTGTTAAAGGCTTCTTGAAAGATTGATTTTAGAAGCTCGGATGTTAAAGAAAATATTAAATTTTTCCTCAGATAAATCGTTTTCAGCTTTCACCTTGCTTGACTAAACAAGATGTTGGTTGTTTGAAGTTTTTGACAAAAAAACTTTCTTTAGGATGAATTCACAGCAAGATTTTGTTTAAGAATACAGATATTTGTGTTTTTAAGTTTGAGCAGTTGAGAGACAACTAGTCAAGACAGGCCTGACTTAATATATCATGGTTTTTTTAAAATAATGGAATTTGTGGAATAGCAGTAATTTTTTGTTTTTAATGTTAATTCTTTGCATAAATGTGGAATGGAACAAGTATTAGCAAAAGTGATTACATAGATCTATTAAACAGGTAAGATGATTCTGAACTATGTACATTATATATAAATTTTGGACTCTAACATTCAGGATTAACGTGAGTTTAATAAAGAAACAAACTATGGTGGAAAACTCGGATTGTTCTTTAAACGGATGATCCAGATGAGATATATCACTCGTGGTAGATTGAGACTGTGCTTCACCAAATCTCATTTAAAACTGTCTTATTTGCAATAAATTCCCATTGTTCACTTTTGAAGATCTAGCCTTAGAGTCTGACAACCTCAACGACTGCTGTTATCTTCCTACTTCAGTCTCTTCTCCTGAGACCAATTTCCCCTGGCAATTTGAAATGACTTCTCAGTGCAATACAATTTCCTCTTTTATCAGAGATAGTAAGAACTGCCGATGCTGGAGATAGAGATAAGTGTGGAGCTGGAGGAACACAGCAGGCCAGGCAGCATCAGAGGAACAGGAAAGTTGACGTTTTGGGTCAGACCCTTCTTCAGAAATGGAGTTTCTGAAGAAGGGTCCCAACCTAAAACGTTAACTTTCCTGCTCCTCTGGTGCTGCCTGGCCTGCTGTGTTCCTCTAGATCCACACTGTGTTATCTCTTCCTCTTTCATCAGACAGTTAATGCTGCTGAACTTAAGTAAGCTCCAGTCTTTCACAACTGCACTAAGCAAATATCGCCAGTGGGCTTCGTTCACACCACTCCCAGCTGTACTGAACTATCTGTAGCCCCAAGAGCTTCCCTTTTCGCCTTGGTAATTTTCTGTGGGACAGAGCCACTATTCTGTGGAAATTTTCCTCAGCCCGAACTACCTGGGGTTTGCTAACAACAGCACTTGTGCTGTCTGAAACCACTTGTGCTTCAGTACTCTTTCAACTCCAAACTGCAACCAACGTTTTCTTATCAAACGCACACCCAGACAAATTGAATCCAGAGAATCTTCCTAAGCACTATGCATTACCATGATGATGTAGCCAATTTTGGGCCATCTTTAACCTGACCTTTAGGGTTTAAATTGATTTAGCTCCAACCTGCTCTGGATTACCATTTCTGCAAGCTCCTTGGGCACCAAGTCTTCAGTATAGTAATCTCACCTATTTTTATAGCTCCATCTCTATTCTGATACTACTGTACAGACATGGGTAACTTTCTGAACTACCTTTGCTTCTAGTTCATGTGACATTCATAAAAGCCCAATAGTTTGATTACTTTTCCATCACGAAATAATCTTTCCAGAATGAAACATTAGTTCTAAAATGTTGACATGAACCAACTACTAGATATTTGCAGCACAAATGTGACAAGTATTAGAGGATACTTGTTTGACTTGTGGAATGAAACAATGTATTTTCAGCATCCTTTGAATTTTGCAGTATTGAAGTTAATTCCTATTGCACAAAAATGCAAGTTTGTCCAGGAATGTAGATGAAGACCAAATATTTAATTGCAGTAATCTGCCATTATTTTCATTTGCCATTTTGTTGTTGTGTTGCGGCAGTTTGGAGATAAATGATGGCTACCTAATCCAATGTTTTCTTTTTGTTTGAATGCCAGTGTTTATGCTGTTGTGATTCCTGAATTAGACTGAGCGGTTTCTTTCCTATTTAACTTGATAAAATTACTGTCTTATTTTTGCAGTCGGCTTGGATGTCAACAGAAATTTCTAGCTGAGCTTTTACAAATTCAGTATGACTTTTTTGAAGTCAGCTAGTTGTTTAAAGGGTCTAGAAATCTTGTGGTGAAAGCCTGATCGTTTGTGCTGCTGTATAGTTACTTTATTGCAGCTGAATATGCAAAATTTGTGGCTACAATGACTTGGCATAAAAGTCCACCTTTGGCAGGAACTTGGTGCTATACTGAAACTTTTAATTTTATTCGTGGGCAGTGGTGGTGCTGGAAAGACAGCTGGAGGACCATCTGCTTGTTAAATGATGCACTTTGGCCGGCCTCAAATTTCTTGGCTTTCAAGTGCAAAGAGCTCTGCGTATCAGTGTACTACACTTACCAAAGTCGAAGACAACATGCTGAAGGATGTATTAAAAGCTTCGGACAACTCCAAATAGGCAGTGGGGAAAAGACCATTGTCTAGGCCCTTCAACCATAGTCGACTGAGGGCTGGAAACTATGAAAAGTCCCTTGGGCTGTATGTTTGTAATGGACGTTGTTGTCATTTTAAATGTAGTATTGGAAGATGGTTTCTTTGCACTTTACTCGGCTGTTCAACATGATATTGTAGAACGCAGTTAATGAATAATGTATAATTTTTGGGAAAAATACAGAATTACTCCTTACTACTTAGCTGACCATGTGGTTCATTCCTCTGCAAGTTGTTAACAAGTTGGGGTTTAACAACAAACTCAGCTTTCATTGGTATCCACTGTGTTGGTCTGCAGATACGTTATTGAAATGGATTTTGTGACTTGCCACGGGGGTAGATTGAAGTGATAACACTGAATTTGACAGCTGGGGTTGAACTAAAGGAGGTGGGAAAGGTTAATGTGCACAATGGATATAACTGTTTAAAGTTGTGTCATTGACAATTATTGTCAAAAAGAAGAATGGTAAAGGTTAATCTGAATATTGTTTTCCAAGGTTAAACTGCTACAAGCTATCCAGTTTTTACCCCACAAAATATTAATGTTTGCCATATTTTGTGTGCTTGTATGCCTTGCACAATGTCTGCAGGATTATTGTTTGTTTCAAGTTAAAATTCACCCTTCCAATGCTATCTATATGCACCTAATCAAAAAATACAGTTTGAAAATTTGGAGCAAGGCCCCTAATTGATACTGTATACTTAGTAACTGGAAATTGAGGCCTGATCTTGTGGTTGGTTTCCTTTTGATAGTATGCTCAAGATGTTATCTCCCACTGTCTGAAACAATGAGGGTAAATGTACGTTCTTAATGCCATGCCCAAAATTTTGTTCTTCCAGATGAATATTTCTCCTTTCCTCACGCCTTTCTCCAGCTCCCTCTGAGATTATGGGTGCATTTGTTAAGATTTCAGTTCAAAGTTTGCTCAGGCTTACACTTGCTTTTCTTGATTGAATTGTCATGACATCTCTGGCCCACTAACCTAAATTCTAATGAGTAGAGTTGACAAGACCACTTCTCACTTCATAAAATGCACTGTTATTTTTGCACTGCATATCTGATGGCTTATTAGGGAAGCATAGTGTGTAGTCTGCAGCATTTTCTTATTTTACACCTAATAGTCTGACGATGTATTCTTTTTTTAAAAAAAAAAGTCAATTTTGATTTTGCTTAGTAGGTTTTGGGCAACGCTTCTGAGTTCAAGAGAGCAGTGAAGCTGGTGACTACGACAGTCTCTTTTAATAAAGATTCAACTGTGCAAGTCTTTGAGGCAACAATCAGGTAAACCACAATCTAATTCTTGTACCTGGTGTTTTCTTTTCTGTTTTTTCATCCAGCAGCAACTCTGAGGAGTTTTTGTGAAGACAGGGTCAAGCTTGTCTGTAATGCCTAAAAAATGTAGGAATAGAGGTAGCTCAGTCAGCCCTTAAGTTCATTATACCATTGCCTTTGCTGCATGCATGTTGCTTGGATGAGAGCTTGCAGGTTGGAGTGTTCCAATGTATCTGCTGCCTTTGACCTTCTAATCATTAGAAGTAGACTTAGAATATGGTTTCCAAGGATGCGTGCTGTGTTATTAAGTACATCTTCTCAGTGGTACGCATTGCTGTCATTGAGTGTCATTGACAGAAGAAGTGAATGTTGATGGTGTTAGATGGGGTGCCAATCAAATGGCTGCTTTATATTGAATGATGTTGAGTTTCTTGGATGTTGGAATTGTACTCGTCCAGGCAAGTGGGGAGTATTTGACTGCACTCCTACCTGTGCCTTATAGATGGTAGGCAGGTTCTGGGGAGTCAGGAAGTGAGTTACTCACTGCAGGAATTCTTAAGACCATAAGACAACAGGACAGAAATTAGGCCATTCAACCTAATGAGTCTGCTCTGCCATTCAGTCATAGCTGATAAGTTTCTCAAACCCATTCTCCTGCTTTCTCCCCGTAACCCTTGACAATTAAGAGTCCATCTATCTCCGTTTTAAATATACTCAATGACCTGGCCTCCACAGACTTATGTGGCAGTGAATTCCATCGATTCACCACTCTCTGGCTGAAGAAGCTTCTCCTTATCTCCGTTCTATAAGGTCTTCTCTTTACTCTGAGGCTGTGCCGTCTGGTCCAAGTCTCTGCTACCAATGGAAACCTCTTCCCAGCATCCACTCTGTCCAGGCCATTCAGTATTCTTTAAGTTTCAATTAGATCCCCCCTCATCCTTCTAAACTCCATCGACTATAGACTCAGAGTCCTCAAACATTCCTCATACGTTAAGCTTTTCGTTCCTGGGACCTTTCTCGTGAACCTCCTCTGAACCCGCTCCAGAGTCAGTACACCTTTCCTGAGATATGGGGCCCAAAACTGCGCCCTGCTATTGTAACTATGGTATTTATATGGCTAGTCCAGTTCACCATTGGTTAATAGTAGCCCCAACGATGTTAGTTTTGGGGGCAGGTGTTCAGAAATGATACTGTTCTTCTGACACAGCTATTCCTAGTTGCATTTTAACAGCTTGTCTTGTCTTGTTCTTCTGTAGGATTTTGGGCAGTTTGCTGTCTGCACATATGATTATAATGGACCCTGCTCAACCCTTTGGAAACATGACCCCAGACAATTATGATGACGAATTGCTGCACTTAGCTCGTGACTTGGCTGTGAGATTGCTGCCAGCATTTGAAAACACCAAAACTGGCATTCCTCATCCTAGGGTATGTGGCATGTAGTGTTCGAGTTGTAAGCTGGTGCATTTTTATACCTGCAGGTGCCTACAAAATAGTCAAACATTTTGTAACCCTGAGGAAACTGTTGCAGCTTAAAGTGCACAGTCTTAATGTTAGATTTAGATATTTTCCTGCTTTTAAACATAATATATTTGATCACACAATTTGAATGACTAATTGATTTTCCTGTGGACTCGTGTGTCCTTTTTACTTAAATCTGCAAATGACAAAGTTAGTGTTAGTTGTGCCACTTTTGGAATGGCTGAGCGGTGACGTGATCTCCTGAACGGAAGTAAAATTGAGAAATCTCATAAGTTGCATTTGCACAAGGCTGGGAGCAGCCAACTTGACTGTGACATGCTTTTGTGCAGAGTGGTCTATATCTGAGAAAGTACAAATGAAAACAGCCCATAAGGATTATGTCTCAAGACATCCAAACAGTATTGTAACACAGTGTGGAGCTTGTGGACTCTTGAAGAAGGATCCCGACCCAAAACGTCAGCTTTCCTGCTCCTCTGATGCTGCCTGGCCTGCAGTTTTTCTCTAGCTCCACGCTGTGTTATTGCTGACTCCAGCATCGGCAGTTCTTACTATCTCCAAGCAGTATTGTAGCTGCTTTTACATTGACTTTGGTGCTGTTCAGTCAATAAAATTGTTGTTCCCAAAACGTTATTGCTTGTGGCAACTTCACTGTGCACTGGCCAGATTTGTTTACTATTGATTTGAATCTTGATCTCTGACAGTTGCTGCAGGTGAAACGGAGCGACCAGAAACTAGCAGTGTGAGCACTGTTGTAAGGCAACTTCTGTGAGATACAGATCCTGTTCTGGTTAACAACCATGCCCACTTCAATTATCAAAAGTTTCAACTCCATAAAGGCATTAAAAGTTTACCACTTGATTTGGTGCTTAACATGGACTGCTAAATATTTTTATTATTCATGTGATCCAGGAAGTGCTCAACTTCCAACCTGGGTTGGCAAGCACCTTTTTAGCACAATTCAACTGAGAACATTGTCCCAATTTCTGTGTCCTCTCTCTACCCTGTTGTTGGGATTTCTGCTTTCATACTGGCTGTATCCTTCTAATTTTTGTCAGACCATGGAAGGTCATAAATATATTTATACAAGCAAATTTAATGTGCGGGCAATTTTAAAAGTCAAGACCACCCTTCCACTTGTATCAATCACATGCCTAATGAATGAATGATTTTCTGATGAAGCACCAAAAACAAAACTTTGGGTATCAAAACTAGAAAACATGTAGTAAAAAAGTAGTAAAAGATCAATGCAAAGCTACTGCAGGGAAAATTGGCAGTACTTTGAGTGCTGGATTAGGGAGGTACAACATGCACTATGTTGAGTTAAATATTGATGTATAGGATTTCAACTGTTTATGCTGCACCTAGTCCTTCACTAATTTTTGGCTTTTCAAATACGTGATAAAGTTGCGTTATTTTATGTAAATTAATATTTTTCTTGTAATGAAAAATATTTTGTATATGCAGTAGTCATAGCTGATGAGTAGGTAATTGTGCTTCATGTTGATGTGAGATGATGTGGTAACGGCAAAAGATATTGAGAGGTTGTCGCAGATGACTGAACTGCAATTGTTTGTTTAAGTGAAGCAGGGAATGTCAGAAGGAAGCTCATTCAAACTTGACCAAAATTTCCTGGAATGTATTGTGACGGCTTAATTCCTTGCTGATGTTGAGTGTATTTTGCAGTGTGGCACAGCAAAAAGTAATGAAGTAAAGAGATCTCTTTGTTTAAAACAAAACATTGCAGGTGAATCTAAAGAAAGGAGTGCCTTCTACTTGCCTTAATGAAACCTGTACTGCTGGAGCTGGCTCTCTGCTTGTGGAGTTTGGAATCCTGAGCCGCCTCATTGGGGATTCTACATTTGAGTGGGTAGCTCGCCAAGCTGTAAGAGCCCTTTGGAAACTCAGAAGTGATGAGACTGGACTTCTAGGTACTAAAATGCATTATTTGGGTTTCTGAATTGTTTGTGGAACTTTGCAAAATCTTCATTTTAATGTTAAAGTTTTAGATATAAGAATGCTAATTAGTGTTCAAAATTGAACATTTTGACCTGTTCACAATAAGAATATTCATAAAGCTCAAGTTATAGCTTGTGATGTGAAATAGGCTGCAATGTACAAAAAAGCATTCAAAAATGCTTTATTCCCCCATTTCAATGTTCAGATCGTGGAAGTAACTGAATTCTTAATTGTAGGACTGCTTTGTTTTGGCTGATGCTGCTTGAGTATAGAGAAAGCATGAGATCGCTCTGCAATTTCTTGGCATTTAGATGATATGCTTTTTTTAATATTCCTACTAAGTTGAACAATTTCACGTTTTACCACTCGATGCAACAATGACCAGATCTTAGCTTTAAAAAAAAAACACCAGTTATTTTATGAGCAAACTGGCTTGAAGTTTCCTGCCTTCTGTCCCCTCTTTGAATGAAGGAGTTACATTTGCCATCTTCTCATCCAGTGAAACTATCCTCATATCAAGGGAGCTTTGGGAAATGAAGCCAGTGCCAAATCAATTAAAATGATCTAACCACTCCTTTTTAAGACCCAGGATGAAGACTGTCAGGATCCAGACATTTGTTAGTTTAAAACTAAAATTTACAGAGTACGACTTCTCTGGTTTTTCCTGAACTGCTCCCTTCTTCCGTTTTTCTTTTTCATTAAGCATCCTTGAGTGAAGACTGCAAAATACCTATTCAAGTCATTGCCATTTCTAACTTTTCAACATTAATTTTCCCATCTCACTTTCTATAGGACCAACACTTTTTTAACTTCAAATATTTATAGGAATGTTTGCTAAATACTGACTTGCTATTGTATTCTAATATTTTCCTCCTTACTGAAGTTTTGGTCATTCTTTGCTTTTTTTAATATTCTAAGCAATCTTCTGACTTGCCCTTTGTCTTTGTCTTTGTCTTTGTCTTTGTAAAATGATGTACTTTTTCTTTTAGGTTGAAATTATTTTTAACCTTTTTAGTTAACCATGGATGGTGAGTCCATTCCTTAGATATTTTCTATTTTGTTAGAATCTATTTGTTCCGTGTCTTCTGAAACATCCCCTTACGTGTTTGCAACTGTATCTCTGTTGACCTATCTTTTAACCTACTTTTTAAATTCAGCTTTCATACATTTATGATTTTCCTATTTTTTTTAAATGAGACCTCCCCTCCCTTCTATAAAATTCAGTTGTAATATGATGACTGCTACTTACGATGTCCTTTGCTGTGAACTAATTAACCCTGTTTCGTTGCACAGTATAGATCTGGTTTGGTCTGTTCTCCTTTAAGCTTCAGAATATCATTTTTGATGGAAATATCCTGAAAACATTCTATGAATTTATTATCCAGGCTACCTTTCCCCGTTTTTTCTTTTGTATTTCCAATGGATATGTAGATTTAAAATCTCCCATGGTTATCAATGTGCCTTTCTGATAAGCTCTCATTTCTTCCTTTGTGCAGAGCCTTACCATGTAGTTACTGTTAGGGGTCCTGTACACCACACTAACAAATGACTCTTTGTCTTTATCAAGCTGTTTCTACATTTGATTTCCTGAACTTTAGTCATCCCTCTCTAATATCATCATTAACTAACAAAGCCACCTCTCCACATTTTTATTAGTTTCCTGTCATTCTTCAATGTCTTGCATTCCTCAACATGCAGATTGAAATACATGTCATCTTCTAGCCAGATTGTACTTCATGCCTGTCTGCCTTCTCAGTTTGTTTTATTTTGAATGCTGTGTGCGTTCAGATACAGAGCCTTTAGTTATAAATTTTAGACTCCTCTGCTATTTGGCTCTGATTCAGACACTCCATCTGTTCCTGTCATGGTCTGTATATCATTTTCTTTTGTTAGTATCTTGCTGTTGACCTTAACTCAACTTGATTTACCATATCATCCCAGATTTGATCCCTTGCTCCCTCTATTTCGATTTCATTCCCCTCTACTTCCCACCTTTTGCGGTTGGCAAGAACACTGCCCTAGTACAGGTCCCATTTTCCTCAGGACCGGTGTCCATGTCCCATGAACTGGAACCTACTTTTCTCTCAAATCTTCAAGCTACACAATTAAAACTCTAATCTGATCTGCTACATACAAATGTGCATGTGGCTCAGGTTTTGACACAGATTGACCTTTTGAGGTTCTCCCCCTCAGTATGGTTCTTAGCTCCTCTTACTGACTATGCAGAAACTCCTTGTTTATCTTGTCTGTGTTGTTGGTACCCGCACTGACCAGAATTACTGGATTCTCCTCTCCAGCCCTGGCACCACACAAGCAACATTGCCATCTGGATTTTTTAATATTTAGCTGCTCTGAATGTTCTCTATCCCCTTCAGTATACTGACCTGCACTACCGCTATATTCATCCATGGCTCTTCCATCACTTGAATGGCTTGTACCATGGTGGCATGGTCAGTTAGCGCATCTGCCCTTCAGCCCTTCTTCTCATCCAGACAGACTCAAGAACCTCAAAGCATTTGGGGCAATTATGAAAGCTGAGGCTGTGCCCCCCTCCGCTGGTCCCTTTACCTGCCTCTCTCTCAGTCTCACTAACCTGTCCCTGACCACTGATCAAGTCAGATTACCCCACCCTAAGAGGTGTAAGTGCATCTTGGTACAAATAATCCAGGTAAATTTCTTCATCCCTAATGCATCCCAGCTCATAAAGTCTGAGCTGCTTTGACTGAAATGTTTCTTTTATTTGATTTTAGTGACAAGCTCAAGTGTTCGATTTGCTGCATGGCGAATTTAAGGGTTGCTACATTCAGTTTAATTGCCAATGAGGAATGAGCCTCTGTTTATCTCTTAAATGGGGTTTGTTTTATTTCTAATTGAACGCATTCCTGTGCTCTTGGCCTGTTTTTATATAATGTGAAGTTCTACTCCCTATTCACACCATGAGCCCCTCCCAAACCGCTGTGCCTGTTCAGATCAGAGCTTCCCTCTTCGACTATATTAATCTTGTCCATCTGAACCAAACGTTGCTTCTGTTCGGCCAGCGTATTGATCTCTCAGACTTAATCTCAATTAAGCAATATTATTTTTCTCAGCAGGAGAATAGAGAGATACTGACAGTGTGAGAGAAACAGTAAATGAGAATGGCAGAAATCATTGGACTTGAACATTGACGGAGAGGGAGGGAAAGCAGAGACGAGGGAAATGGCAGAAGGAGTTTTATAAAAGAATAAATGCACAATTCTGCAGGAAAAGCCCACGTAACAAAGATCTGAAAGCTAAAGAGAATAAGCACACCAGAAAAAGCTAAAGCTTTCTAATTGCTTTTATGTTAATATGTCTGTTTCATCTGAGCAATGCAATGAGAGATCCACTGATATATCATAGTTTTAGTAAATCTCCTTTCATTCTTAACATATTTTATAACTAAACTGGTGTTGCTACAGTGCTAAGTCCCAACATAGTTTAACATCAGGGCCATTAAATTTGTTTTCTCAGTCCATCACAGCTTACAGCCAGATAAAGCATTTTCACTTAACTTTGGGTTTGTTATATGTTCCCCGTTAATAGTTCATGATGACACTGGGGCAGCACATCAAGACCATTCACAGCTGGTTGGTTGGTTTTGTGGACTGTGGTCTCCCATTTGATATTTGGAGCTTGAAACGATTTTCCATTGGAAATGGTCAAACTCAATCGAGTTGTGACCAAGTTCAGCTTTGTCCCTAATCTGAGATAGTTAGATGGAGACCCAATTAGAGAAAGCAGATAAATAATTTAAAATTTTTTTAAATTGTAAAAACTCCACGAGTGATAGCTAAGCTAACTCTTCATCGATAGAGAATAGTGTATATTTTAAAACCACAATAAATAAATTAAAACATACTTTTACAGAGGTCTGTGGCTTCAGTGTGCTTTGAAACCTGTTTGTGCAGCTATTATAGACTCTTGTCAGAGTATTTCAGTTTCCATTGTGCCATAAATTTATAGTAAATGTTGAAATAGAGGCAGGTATTCCATTTCTAATGACAGATTTAAACTGTTCATTTGGGACTTTTATTTTAGCAGCTACTAGTATTTCTGCAGTTTGAACGTATATTTCCTCCTGTTTAGAGTTTGTTACTTTCCCAGATCTAATGCTCAAATTGCTGAGTCTCTACAGAGCATTTAGAATTAAAGTTCCACTGTGATCTTGATCTAAGAATTTGAACTTTGAGCTCCTAGATATTGAGAATTGTCTCTTTTTAACCACAGGGAATGTGGTAAACATTCAGACTGGACAATGGGTTGGAAGACAAAGTGGATTAGGAGCAGGAATGGACTCTTTTTATGAGTACCTTCTGAAATCCTACATACTATTTGGAGAAAATGAAGATCTGGAGATGTTTAATGCTGCTTATGAAAGCATTCAGAATCATCTGAGAAGAGGGTATGATGTCCTTGTATTGCAAATTTTAAGCTCCTGGATAAGTACCATCTTCAGTGGCAGAAACAGCCAGCCTTTATTCATTTATTGTAATTTTTGTTAGATTTTCATGCAATTATCAATTCACTGAAAATTCAGTAAGCAGTAATTTCTGTGATTTTTCTTCAATTTTTTTGGAGTATTGAACTTTACAATGTTTAAAGGAGGAATAATGGTTATGGAAATTAAACTTTTAACTGAGAGGCCCATCTCTCAATCCTGACACGTATGATGAACTGTTGTAACTCCAGGTCAGTTTTAACTCATAGATTTTCCCCCTCAGCCTCCACCGAACAAATTTTCAAAAGCTTGAATGACAGAAAATGCTGCCACTTGGAGTGAGTGGGATTGGGCTGTTTGCTTAATTCAAGGCAAAATTTTCTTTTTTTTTTGAGTTTCATAATTTTATATTTTTGGGGAAATTTAGCAAGTTTTAACAGTCTAAAGCAGATTCTATTAAGTGAGTAAAGGTATATTTTCAGTACCTGTAACAAATATCCTGAGTTCTACACTGTAAAATGCAAAGCCCAACTTGCTTATTTGAATTAAACTGTCTGTGGTTTCAAAAGGGTAGTTGGGATCATTAGTTATGTTTCCAGACAATGGTTGCGGTTTTACGTTTGCAAAACATGTTTCCTGCCATGTGAGAACAGTAGCATAACTTTTAAAGCTGCAACTTCATCTTTTTTCAATGCAACAGAAATTAATCTACATAATCAAGATGTCTTTCTGTAATTTCCTCAGCAATGTGATTATTTTATGGAACAAGCTTGTGCTCCTTTTGCAAAATTAAAGGGTTGTTTGCCAAGTGGACTTGATACTGAAGTTTATTTTGGATTTTGGCATGCAAAATCAGTTTCCCGTTGTCATTTGGTGTTAATGCAAATTACTATTACAATCAAAGTTATAATAAAAAGCACCTATTTGGGGTGGGGGGGTCAGAAATATAGGGTCTAAAGGCTGCTTTTTGTTCTTGAATGTTGAATCTTGAATGCATAGAATTTTACTCTTGCAGTGCAGATTTTAGATATGTTTTAGGAAATGACAGTTGTCAAACCCAGGGTCAGAGGATGATTGTTGGATTATGCCTGCAATTCTGGCACTTTTGTCAGCAACTCTCCCTTAATTTTATTGGTCTGTCTCAATCTCCATACTCTGTTGGTACAAATAAATTAGTGTCTCCTACTCAGAATACTCCATGTTTTGGTTACTGTAAGAGTTCTTGTCTAAACTTTTTAAAGAAACCTATAATCAATTACAACATAGTACACTACAGTATTGGAGAGATTCCATTGTGATCAACTGATATACTGCTAATATGAATATCCTGATGGACTACTTGTCCTTGTATTTCCGTGATAACAGATTTGAATAGAAATCAGTGTTATGGAGTGGTGGAGCCATTGCACTCTTCTGGCTTGAAATTTTATTGTCAGTTGGGATTTGCTACTAAAGCATATCTGTAAATTTGTATTATTTCTTAACATGCAGACGCGAAGCTTGTAATGAGGGAGAGGGAGATCCTCCGCTCTATGTTAATGTGAATATGTTTAATGGCCAGCTAATGAACACTTGGATTGATTCACTACAGGCGTTTTTCCCTGGTCTTCAGGTATATTCATTGACTTTAAAACAGCGATTTTTCTAGTTTTGTTTTATGCACTTCCTAAGTGCAGTAATATTTCTTGAGCATAAACAAATTTTTATTTGATTTCAGGTTTTAACAGGTGATGTAGAAGATGCCATTTGTCTTCATGCCTTTTATTATGCGATATGGAAACGCTTTGGAGCTCTTCCAGAGCGGTATAACTGGCAGCTCCAAGCACCTGATGTAATGTTTTATCCACTAAGGCCTGAATTAGTTGAATCCACTTATCTGCTATATCAGGTACGACATGAGATATGTATTTGTGATCATAATGTCCACTTAGTCAGTTTACCTCTGGCCTTAGGATTTATTTGGTGCCAGAATTTTGAACAAGACCGAGTTAACACACTGAGCTGAACATGTCCTCCATGGGTTTGCACATTTGGTTCACTCGAGGATCTAGCTCTTCTGTCATGGCCGTTCATTAACTATCGATCCCCTTCTGACCTATTTGGCTGGCATTTAAATTTTTTCTAATGTGGCAATTAACTTGAATCTTTAGGTTCCATTGATATGCTTGATGGCATCCTGAATTCCATGTTGCTATTCCACTTGTGCCCAAGGGTCTAGCACAATAAGGTAATTTAAAACCAACATGGCAATTTCAGCATGTACCACCACAGCACAGTACTTGTGGTCACTTGTGGGTTCTTTGCTGGTTTGGAATTTCAACTCCTCGCTTTACAGTGCAAGCGTTCAATGATGGAGTATAACTCTTTAGTCTCACAACTAGTCAATTTATAATGAACACGAGTTGATTGTGAATCTTTTGCTTGACTCTGCTTGCCCCCATGTTTACTTTGATTTTGGAAGATGGTAGGATAAACATTTCTCTAGACTGTGGCATAGGCGGACAAATAGTAAAAGGATTTATGAAAATGGTAGCTGGATGTTAATGGTAGCAATGATTTTCAGTAGTTAAACTTAAACATTTTGTGGGACAGACTGACTTTTCCAGGCCAGTGTCTTAGCAGAGAGCCTTTCAGTAATAGCTGCATACCTATGTTGCAGGATTTTCATGTGTAGCTGTATCTGGACGAATGGTTAGTCTGAGCTTCCAGCCTGGACTCCAGAAATTGGGCTTTTGGTCAGTCATGAGAAGTCGCGACTGGATCCTTTTGCAGGACGTGGTTTCTACAGTTCTGTACAGTCAGACATGGAATGTTCTGCGTGGGATAGATTCTATGTAGTGCAGAGGAACCTAATTGCATCCCCTTGAAGGACGGTACCTATCTCTTGGTCCAAGTTTATCTACAGATAATTCATGCTTATGACCGACTTCATCCCTTCTCTTTCCCATAGATGTCTGTTTATGACTGCTTTTCAGCTAAATTTAATTAAACTGGTTTCCTGCACCTGTGTGGGAGAAATTGTTTTGTTTTTTGTTTTGAAACCAACTACAGGCAGCTACAAATTTCTTATTTTCTGTCTTGTCCTATCCAACACTTCAACTCATGCTGTGGTACTATTCCACGTACCCATGACTTAGCTTGAGGATACTGAATTTAGTCAACTGCAGTATCCCATGACATTTTTTAAACCAAAGAGTAGCCAACTAGGCACAGCAGTAATGTACTTTAGTTGTATAACATACACTTCATTACAAAGTTATTTCTTAAACTATTCTATAAATGCTGTATTTAAACATTCAGTTGATTTTATGCTGTGGAGTATCAGCATTAGTTGTTTGACCTGATATCCTCAATTGCTAACCACTTGTTTCTGTTTAATATCAGGCAACAAAAAACCCTTTCTACTTGCATGTGGGAATGGATATCCTCCAGAGTTTGGAGAAATACACCAAAGTCAGGTCAGTGCTGCAATATAACTCTGATCTTGTATTCTATCCATGTAACACTGTCCATTTCTCATTCATCATAAAAATTAAAAGTCCAGAGTTGCTCTGAGTCCATTTTCAAAGTTCTCCATACTGACTTCTATGGGTACAGGCTTTCTTTTTAATGCTGACAAATTTTGTGTCTCTTGTCAACACCATTGTCTAGAATCTTTAAGGCGGGGGTGTAAAGGCTTACTGAAATTGACAAAATAACTTTCCCTTGTATTTCTTGCTGGATTCTTCCAAACAATTGGGCTTGGGAGAAGTGGGTGTTCGCTCAGGTGCATGATTTATACAGAGTGAGGAAACTGGCAGCCTTTCAAAATATGGAAAACTGGAAAGAAAAAGAAGTGGAAGTCCTGCAGGCACCTTGTATCAGTGATGCTTGCCTCCAGCTTATCATACTGATTTAACTTAGCAATGCCAATTGTGTATAAAGGCTTTTGGACTTCGACAGAATCAACCATACACAGCATTCAAGCAAACATTAATAGGATTAAGATTGGCATATTGCTTTCTAGTCTTTGGACAGCAGCGCAGCACGGTACATCTTGGTTATGATCTGCCATGGTTTATGCTGTAAACGCTGTTTCATTTATGTCCCTTGTGGTTCTGCCGTGTATGGAAACTTGTTGTTCTCACTGTCTAGTTTCGACATACCATTGATTGACACTGACACTGGCAACTATATTACCACCTCCTCAGAAACATGAATGACCACTCTCCAGTTTGACTGTTACAGAATGTAGTTGTACGTGTTAATAGTTAACATGGTTAAAGTCATCCAGATAGTTTGGTGCTAAAATATGGACTACTGATTGAATTCTTATCAGATGTGAACACCTGAGTTGTTCACAGGCTAAAAAGAAAATGCTGATTCTTAAAACAGCTGCAGCAATCAGCTCACCACAATGATTTCATAAAAATTCATCTGAATTGAAATTAACATTTTCATTAAAAGGTGTTAAGATGGGACAGCTCTGTCAGATATGAAGAAACCCTCATCTCCTATTTTGATTTCTACTTGTCTTTCTTATTGTAGATGAATACTAGTGTGCCATTACCAAGCTTGTACATAAACCAACTGTATTTCAGGCATCTGCTTTTGGCAGAGTTGGGGAGATGGATTTGTGACTGGAATCAGCTGGAGAAAGTGCTCATTTAGCCTGTCAAAAGGAAGGTGTCTGGTGGTAGAAATGATTAAAAATAAATGAGAACACAGAGTTCAAAGGTCAACTAAAATAATTGCCACTTCAGAGGATACAAGACTAAATAACTATCTGATGTTGAAACCATACACGTCAAGGATGCCCTAAGGACTCTGGTTAGCACTGCTGCCTCCCAGCGCCAAGAACCCGGGTTCAATTCCAGCCTCGGGTGACTGTCTTTGTGGAGTTTGCATATTCTCCCTGTGTATGCGTGGGTTTCCTCTGGGTGCTCTGGTTTCCTACCACAGTCCAAAGATGTGCTGGTTAGGTGGATTGACCATGCTAAATTGCCCATAGTGTTCAGGGATGTGTAGTTTAGGTGGCTTATGGGGGGATGGGTCTGGGTGGGATGCTCGAAGGGTTGGTGTGGACTTGTTGGGCCAAAGGGCCTGTTTCCACACTGTAGGGATTCTGATTCTATGACTATAAACCAAACCTTTCATCCTCCCTTTTGTACTGGACACTAACCCCTTTTAACTTTGTGTCTTTTGTGTACATATGCTTGACATTGCATTTTTTTTGAGGTTAGATAATGTTTTTTTTCTTCACTCCAGGAAACCTTGTAATTGGCTTCATGCAATAATTACATTTTTATTAGAGATGGTTATGGCCTTCTGCCAAAAGGAACAGAACTTTTCCACCCTGCAGAGGAGGTTGGAAAGAGGGGATATGTATCAACCCTCCTTATATGGTTGTAACACAGTAAGATCATGCACCCTGTCTGGTGGCTGCATCCTACGTGGTGCTAACTAGCCATAGTCCTATACACAGCTATGTCTTTGCTCGTCCAGGTTAATTGCAGACTCCCTCCAGTTAACTGGCAAAGTGTGCTGTCACATTATTGACAGTTAATGAAGTTGAGGGTGTGCAATTCCGTCTAACAGTTAATGAGGATTAGGCCACCTAAGATCCATATAAGAGTTGATTCATTGTCCTGAATTATATAAAACGTGATTACGTCTTCATATTTCAGCAGCTTGATATACCTCATTATTGTTCTCTTAACAAAGTTGCTACTTTGGATCTATTTGTTTTATGTCTTTTGTAGCACTTCTAAACCAAAGGCTATATTTCCAAAAACAATCCAAGTGACACTTGAAGATTCAGAAAACAATTGCTGATCTATCTGCGTTATCTGATGTCTCTGTTTGGGAGCATTTTCCAATTTGTTTGATTTGTGTCTGAATGGCCATATTGTCATAATTATGTGTAGCTGTTACAAGTTAATTTTGTACAAAGCAGATGGAGTTGGGGACAACAGCATTGTATGCTTTTCTAGAGTTGATATCTGAGGTTGTTAACTTTAATTTTGTCATCATTCACTTGGTTAGTTCAAAGAACAAAACTGTAGGTCCTGTACAATCATCACTGAGTAGCTATAATTGTATATGGAAATAATTTAATTATTTTTAAGCACCTTGGAGAATTTCTATCATGGCATCTGTCAAAATGATTATTGATACTGCACACTTTGTAACTTCACTTACTTTGAAAATAAACTATTCTGTCAACCCCCTTTTAGGTTGGCCTTTAAGCTTGTCTTGGGGCCAGGGTCCTCTGGGTGTTGGCAGGCAGCTAATATTATGTGCCCATGCAATATGTGAAAAGCATAGAAACAGATTTTACAGAAAGGAGGGGTATATTCGGTCCCCTATTTACTTCTGGCCCAAGTTTAATCGTTTACTAAAGATAGTCAAGATAAAAATAGTTTCAGTACAAGAAATTATCAGAGAAATTATAACTACCATAATTGTCACCCCAAAAGACTTACTCTAGTATTAGAAAAATCTTGTCTTGATAAACACTTGCCAAACTCTGGTGTTGGAGTTATAATTGACTGTTTTCTTTCCAAATAGATGTGGTTATGCCACGCTTCACCATGTGATAGACAAGTCAAAGGAGGATCGAATGGAGAGCTTCTTTCTCAGTGAAACCTGTAAATATTTATATTTGGTATGTTACCTCTATAAATATTTTTGAGTGAAATTAATCATTTAAAATCAATTTGTTAATATCAGTATGATTTTTCAGGATGCATCTTGATGTGTAGCTACACTGAATAATGATTCACCTAGGGCTCAAAGCTACATCCTGCAGGAGAAACGGGAATCGTTTGGTGGTTTGCATGCTACTGCCTCTTTGTACGCATTGCTTGCTAATTTCTCTTCTGTGGTATTGCATATAGGGAACCAGGACCAACTGAGGTCTTCAGATAAAATCGGACATAGATGGGAGCTAACTGGAATAGGGTACAAATTGTTAAGCTGTATCTTGAGTTCTTTTATTTTAAATAACCTGGATTGGAGATCTAATTAAACACTGCAAAGAATTCATTGTGTTGGAAAGAATGAGAGGCAATATTATCTAAATGGTAAAGTTTTAAACGGGGTGCAGGAACAACGACAACTTTTGAAAGTGGCAGGACAAGCTCAAGTTTTTTTTTTTGTTTTAAAATGCAGGGTCCTTCACTTTATTAAGCGAATCCTAGCGTACTCAAGCAAGAATTTATATTAAATCATTAACGATGCTCCTGATAAATGCCGTCCAATTCTGGGTAACATCTGCAAACTGTCAAGCTGGAGAGCACGGATGAATTACTAGAATAAAAAGCAGGATAAAGAGACCAGATAAAGCGAAAGTGGGGGAATGTAACAGGTTCTGAATCACATTTTGATGAAGTAAATAAAAGGACCATTTTTAATGTAACAGGCAAATGTATGAACGTCAACATTTTATCGACCTGACACTTGTTTTTTAAAGCAAACATACAAATGAAAGAGCAGGAATAGGCCACTGCAGCCTGGTCTGCCATTCTACATGGATATTACTGATCAGATTCTCCATCTTTCTACCTACTCTCTTTCTAATCAAGCATCGATTGAACTCTGTCTGAAAAATATTCAAGTATTGTGCTTTCACTGGCTTTTGAAGAAATAGTTCCAAAGTTGTGACCTGGCAGGTACTGCCCGTAAGTGAGTGGCAGTGGTGACTTTGAAACGAGAATGAGATGAATAAGTAGAAAATTAATTACAAGATTATCAGAAAAGGGCAGGAACTCATCAGTGAAGTTTATCTCTAAGAACAGACAAGCTAACTGGCCTCCTTTTGTGCTGTAAAATTTCATAATTCTGAAATTTATGAAGTGGGAAAACAGGATTGGAATCCTTATTCATACTTGGTCTCCCAGTCTATCATCTTTCCTTCTGAGAGTAACACGAGTTGGTTTCCTGAGCTCTGCAGCCATTCCCCCATCTCTATCCAAGAATGTTAGTTGGGATTGAGAGCCAAATTATGCCACAGTCCACTGCCTTTTCAATATCTCTGGTCAAACTTTCTAATGTTAAACCATGCTAACTTAGCTGAAAGGTTAAGTGACAGAGGGCAAGAAGGGCTACCTCTCAATGTGAGGATGGAAAAATTATTGCGTGAGGTGCCTCGAGTTTGGATCTACATAAATAGTGTAGACAGTTTTGGTGCTGCAAAATAAGTTTCAAGATTGGAGCAGAAGGAGTCAGAAGGCCTCAAAACAATTAGTGGCATTTAAATGTGAATAAATGAAGTCCAAAGCAGAAATTTAATTTTGGTGGCATCTTTGACATAACAAAACATTCCAGAGCTCTTTTCATTTGTAAATTTAGATTATATGTCTCTCTGTTCCAAGATGCATCACCTAGGTTATGAATGTTCAAGTATATATTTAAAAAAAAAACCCAGTCTGACCATAGGAAGCTAATGATAAAAATTGACATTTGATCCATCAATGTTCATCCCTCCAATATTCAAACAACTCCCAACCTAGCACCAATTAACTGTTTTCATCTTTATTTACTTCAACCCTCAATAGCCATCTGTGTCTGTACATTTTAGCTTGGAAATTTAATCCAAATGTACTCACTCCGTGTGTAAAAGATGTCCTTCTGGTATCTGACACTTCTTTTCACAAGCTTATATTTGACATCTGCTATTATACCTCATTATAATAAATCAAGATTATTAATCAGCTGAGCCATTTCTCCTATGCAATGCAAATAAGATTCTGTTCAGTGATTTGTTTTGTGATAGGAACCAATTTTTAATCTGTCTTCCCTTTGACTGTACAATCAGCTATTTGATGAAGACAACCCATTGCACAGATCTGGGAGCAAATATATTTTCACAACAGAGGGCCATATTTTGCCAGTAGACAAGCTTTTCAGAGAAAAGCCTTGGGAAGATGTATCTTCTAAAGAAGAAGATACTGCGCATAACTCTGGAGTGCTGGACCACAAACCTGCCAACTCCAGCATTAACGTAAGTAAAAGACTGGAGATTGCACCTGATTTGCAAATTAAAATGAACTCTATTGTTTTCTGTATAGTGCACATTATTTTTCAAACTGACGTGATAGTCTCCAGCCTGAGATCAAGTAATGTGCTGTAATAAAACGCCTTGAATAGCTTTTAAAATAGCCTATGTTATTTTTCTCTCTGGGTCATGATTTGATGTTTCACTTCATAGATCTAAATCTCTCTCTGTTCGGCATGGGGTTTTGTGTTTTATTATTGTTTTTATTGTTGTTATTATTGTTTTATTATTGCCTCGGATCACCATTCTGAATCCTATCCATTAGTTTCAGTATTGCTAACTTCACTAAGCTGAAGAATAAAGTGAATAACTAGTGAAACCATTTTGAGATGCAAGTTTTTTTTTTAATCTGATTTGAGTTAATCAGAAAGGGCATTGCACAAAATTGAACCATTTATAAAACATACAACACAATTATTTGTGGAATATTTGCTGTTCTGAGTCTGCTCACCTTGAGTAAACTAAGTTGGTACAGATTAGCGAACAGGGGTTTAATAGTGCAGCCCAATTCAGGAATTGGTGGTTGTGAACATACAAATTTCTTCCTTCTCTTCCCCCGTTACCACTACCGTCTTGATATTACATGAGGATAATTTCCTTGGCTAGTACGGTGGTATAATTTTATTGTTTTTAAAAATGTTTCCACAGTGCAACAAAGTCCCCAGTGAGCGGAGATATGCACTTCCATTAAAAGGAGTTTACATGCAGCAGATTGACCAGATGGTGGGACTTCTTTAAACCAACCTCAGAAAGAACTCATCGATGAACTGGCAGGGACTTGTTCTTCAACTATGCAACTTTTTATTTTGTGTACAAATATATTGACATTTATTTATTAAGATTTTTACAACTTCTCAAAAGATTTCTAGACATGTAATTTCATCTCTAATAGTGATATTACATTTTATACCTTTGCTTTTATGCAGGGGTGATTTTTTTGTTTGAATAAGTAATTTTTGATGTCTAGTGTCTTCTGTGAAGGCATAGGATTAATTGTTTGACTACAGGGCTCTTCCAGAAAGTATAAAACGCAAGAAGGCTTATACTCCGCATTTAAGTGAGTTTGAATATTTGTGTAATTTACCCTAAAATGTTTAATGATTTAAAATAAGTTTCAGAATGCATAGCTATACTAATGCAAGTGTAGCACTTGCATGGGAGCCATGAAATGGTGACTGTCTGGCCTATGAAAGACCGTTCACACGTTCTTGGGTATTTTTCCAGGAGTCCAGTCTTTGGTGCAGGGGATCCAAATATCAGGGTGAAAGTGTATTCTCTAGATTTGCCTAATGTGCCTTGTGCTTTC